TAAACATTACAAACTTATGCAACTTTTTTTTTTAAAAGGGGAATAAGTATATCTTTTTTTGTAAATCTTATTTCTCCAGCGTTATTGTCACTCCTCAAATGAAGGATCTTTTAAAGAACAGCACGTATTTAGGATCGAGGCATACTTGTTTTAAATTGTTGCGCTTTTATTATTTTTATTTTATTTTTTTAACCACCATTAACAAATTGAGCAGTTAATCAGGTTCACTAAGTATGTAAATGAGAACAGCCCTGATGCAACTCAATTTGTCCATCAGATTTCAACATTTAAAAACAACAAACTCATGGTCGATCAGGTCAAGACTTCAAATCACATTTAATAGGTTATATAACACTTTTCACTTTCGCCGATACAGATGTTTCAAGGATTTTTAAGTTCAGTTTATGCATTAGCATCATTACACCACTAGATGGTGTCACAACAGCAAGCTACAAACATCTCACAATCAGAAGAGAATTATATTCAATACTATTCCTCATTTAAAAGAGATACGCTTTATAGATGCAACAGTGTTTTTTATGGGAAAGGTTGGCATAGTAACCGACTTGAGTGTAGTTTAATATCCAAGCATCCATTAGAGCAAATATGCAGCATTAGCTGGGGTACGCTAAAGTGGAGGAAGTGGAAACTTACTGTTTTCATAATATTCATTTGCACATATGTTGATAATTTTGCTAATGACTGGCAGGTTATTGACTGCTGCGTATTTAAATTTTGTTTTCACATTTTAACATATTGTTGGGTCAAACTGACAATTCTTCGTCTTGGAGATGATGTGGAAACGGCTTTAAGTTAAATCTAGAGCATGAAACAGCTTCACCATGTGAAAACCCTAAAATACATAGGCTGTGAAATTATTTTTGTCCCACAGTGCGATCTTTTACATGACACTTAAATTAGGAAGAATGATGTTCAAAATTCCGTGACAAACCATATTCTCTGCTTCTACTAATCTTCTGATTATTGATGTATTTTTATAGATAGATAGATAGATAGATAGATAGATAGATAGATAGATAGATAGATAGATAGATAGGGAATTTCACACAATACACACAATACATAGAGGTACAATGGACATTAATTATCATTCAAATATAATGTTTAACAAGTGAAAGTCATCTTGACGTTGTTAATGAGATACCTGCAACAGAAACTTTAAGTTAACAAGTAAAGCACAAGTTAACCTGGAGTAGTGCCTGTTCTCTGGAGTCACACTTTTTCCTCATGTGCTTTTCCATTCTTTATTATCAGGTAAGTGTACTTACATATAAGATCAGGCAGTAATGGCAGACCAGTTACCTCGTGTTTATGTTGTCTACTGGTGCATTTTTGTTTTTTGGATTTAGCTTAAGTTCTTGAGCTCTTGTTCCGACTTGTTTCAGTTAATGTAGCTGAAAATGACTCAGCCCAGTTCACTGAGTGTCAAACAAACCCTGCTATGCCAGTATTTGACTTCGAAAGACCATAAGAGAAGAACGACTCAAAAGGAATCAATAGGAATAAAGATAGGTGCTGATTTTATTGACAGTACATTTCTGTTTACAAATAAAAGGTTATATTTATATAAAGGAAAACGAAGTTATAAAAAAAAAGCTAGTGAAAGCACGGTCTTCAGCCTGTCAAAGGCTTAAATATAGAAATTATTCTACAGAGATATTTCAAATATAAAACATCATTGGTATGAAGTGAGACTTAAAACTACTGTATCTCAAATAAACATAGATCTGATTGTCTGTAGCATTCACTTCATTGTATTGACCTGTCCAAAAATAACATTGCAACACCATTTGTCCAGCAGTCATAAAATAAACTCTTTACAGAAATCAAAATAAACAGGCCACAGGGGGGAAAAAAAGCAGTACCCACTCTACTTTCATTAACATGTCAGCAAAAACATCAGGAGCATAATACCAATGCCCTCAGGCAGCCTGCTTTAGGAGATTCGCCTGGGTGTCTTGCAAGATTATCGCTTCCTTTGGTGACATTTTGGAGTTTGTCCCAGATCCCCTACGTTTAAAATAGAAAATGCAGATATGGTTAAATCACATTTTCTCTCTCTCTCTCTCTCTCTCTCTCTCTCTCTCTCTCTCTCCTGAACTGTATATGCTCTTTCCTGGAGTAAATCATGATGATGGCCCATTTTTTGTTTTGTTTTATTGCTGTGTAAGTCACACCTAGTATACCTCGAGTCCTCTTTACTAAAAATAATGTTTTGATTTTGGGCCATAAAGGAAAAGGAACACATGCGCCTGCTAGAAGTCAATCTTACCTGTCCTCCACATCTTGTATTGTGTCAGGAAGGGGTGAGCCAAGTGTTTCTGGGAGAAATATTGCAGCCACCCCAGTGAGGATTGGAGCTCCTCCGTAGATTAAACCTGGAAGCCAAGTAATGGAGTCCCCCATGAGGAGCACCATTGGGGCCACCATGGCTCCTACACGGGCCATCATGGACACCCATCCCATGCCATTCTGACTGTGGGAGAAATACTAAAACAGTTAAATATCATCAACAGCCATAACTACACATCAGCTAAGCTGATAAGGTGTGAGCTGTTATTTTAAAAGGCAGGCGTAAAACAGTGGACATATTATAACTGTATCACAAAAGACATAAGGTAGAAACTGATTTTGCAAAAAAAAACACATACAGCTGCATTTCTATGTCCAGTATAAAGAACATAGATTAGTTCGGAAGGTTAAACATTACTTTTTAGCTGGATATTGGCCTCAGTGTGGTTTGTTGTTTGTTAATGTCTCTACTCGGAAAAAGAGGAGTTTCCAGAGATTTGCATGACGAACGTAGTCAACATCAGTTCTGCTGGGAAACACTAAATAAGAACAGAATCTAATGGCCAGGCTTATTCATAATAAATAAATACAGTCAGTGTGCAAATAACAAGTGCAACAGAAATGTCAATAACAAAATAGATATCCCAGAGCAAAACAGTTCGCCAGGGCAAGATGACATAACAAGACTGAAGCTGGGGGCCTGCTGTTGATAGTAGAGCCTGAATAGATTTGCATGAACCAACACTTGTCAGATGATTCCAATACCTTACTGAATCTGTTTTTGCAACACTTAAACTTTATATGTAAACCTTTATCTGCTGTTAACAGACAGATGTAATTAACCTTGTTGACAGGATCCTGTTAAGCCCTTATGTCATCCTGGTCCAAGTTGAACGGATTTGAACCTGTTAATCTTTCTCTTGCCAGCTGCCCTCTGACCTTTGTTTGCTTTTCTGTCACACAGTGTCCTGTGCAGAATAATACAAGTAAAGGAATTGACTAACTGTCTTGGCATTTTGCCGTCCCTATGTTGGACCTATGAGCATGGCCCAAAACCCTGTCTGGTCCACGGACACCATTTCAGGACTGGTGAGAACATGGTCAGGACATGCTATCTATCTATCTATCTACGATACAGAATATAATCTAGACCATGTTGTGGATGGAGGGGAATCTAGGATGGAAGGAGGGGAAATTTTTCAAGAGGAGCCTGTGCTGGCACCCCACATTCAGCCACATTCAACACCTTGCCCAATTGGCAGCCTCTACAGGATTGGTGAGAGAGATACAAAGCCAAGAAGCAAGATCACTTGCTGCAAGAGAGAGGTGACAAAAGGAAGACATGCATCTGTGTGCACCAAGAGATGTGAAAACAAGGATAATGTGCCATAAATGCAATGCATATATTTGCAAGGGACATGCAACAACCTGCACATACTGTCCAACATGTGCATGAGAAAAAACACCAGTGAAGTTTGAGTTATCCCACTCTACCAAGTAAGTACCCACTCATTTTCAAGAATATCAGATACAGGAGGCATACAGGCCATAAACAACAAATACAAGTTCAAAACTTGTAATGTTCACAAGGACTTCAGTTAATTAAAAAAAAAATCTAACACAACAAATACTGATAACTTATGCATTATTACAGTTTTTATGATGAGTCTTAATGGAATGGTTATTTTTGACTGGGAACAACAAATTGTTTAACACAAAATTAACACAACATGAGGGTTAACCCACCCTTCTAACAAGTTGGACTATACAATACATCAAATACATGATTAGTTACCTGAAAAGGGACGAGAGAAAAACAATTAAATAAATCAAAGATATGTTAGTTTGAAACGTATTTAATACATTATAAACAAGCATCATTCTGCAGAAAATCTGCTTCCTTCAAGATGTAGCTGAGAATGAAGTTTAGTTGTATAGGGAGGTAATTACAGGGAGACGGGGTTGCAAGCAGTGAGGTTTGATCAAGAAAATAGCACGTCCACGTGAATCTGATAACCAGGTCACGTCTGGAGGCACCTACTAGTGTCACCTCTTGACTCCATCACATTTTGTTATTGATAACTTCCTGCCAGACCCCTTGTTGTCTTACGTGTTGTTGTCTGCCAGAGGTCTTGACTCCCTAAGCTTTTGTTAATCTTTGTTTGCGTACCTTTTGTCATTGATTACCTCCTACATGCACACCAACCACTGGTCATGACTATATATACATACTGTCCCCTCCCATGTTCTACTCTGCCAATGTTTTGGGTCGACTTGCCTTTACAGACTCCTGCTCTGTGTTGGTAAGCCAACCATATTCTGGAATACCAATACAACATCCCATTACTGTAAACTTCGGATGAGGACTAGGAGTGAATTTCTTCGACAGGTTGCAAGTGGGAACCAATTGAATACCCCTCACCTCGCTTGCTACTCTGTAGGAGAATGTATGGTGGCCGCTAAAACAATGAAAAGCCCTCTCTAGAGCAAGTTTGGTCATTCTGGGATACTCTAGAAACATGGCGGATCCAGACATGAAGGCCTTGTTCCAAGCTAACAAAAACACAATGATTGCTAGTTTTAGGTGAACATAATTCCTAAATCGTACACGCTGTACCTTTAAATCTTGTATAGAAACTCGGATCTGACTCATATATTAATACAGCTGAGTTCTTTTTTTCTAATTAAAAACTCGATTGAATTCTAAATTAGCTAAATTTCCTCAACAAATTAAACTGACAGTTACATGTTCTCACCCAACTTACCGAATGATGGTTGGGTACAGTTCTCCAGAATAAAGGTAGCAGCAGTTGAAGGATGCAGCAAGACAGCCTTTACCCACTACAGCCAGACAGGTGCGTATCGTCTGTTTATCTGCACAAAAGTGGATCACGCATCAGATAACTCGTTTATTTTTGTTTGATAATATCACGGCTGTGTTGGGATAATGCAAACTGCATGCGCCACATTCAGCCTTTACTCGTGCACATACCGTAGGGCACCAGAAGATTGAGCAAAATAGTGACTCCAGCGAAGATGAGAGCACCACATTGTGATGGCCGACGTCCAACAAAACTCATCGAGATTGTTATGATAACTTTAGCGGGGATGTCAACTGCGCCAAAGATGACTTGTATTAAGTAGATGTCCACCCCAAACTTTTGCAGATCCATAGCGAGACCATAGTAGGCAAAGCTGGTTGATAACCTAAGCGTGAATATGAAAAAAACAAAAACAAAACATACATGCATGTTATTGCAGTTTCATAGAATGGTAAATATATATATATATATATAGAAAATTGGAGAGCAGGATATGCACCAGACAGCACTGAGGCAGATTGTCATGAGCCTCATTTTGGGTGTGCGGAACAGATCAAGGACAGTGTAGGTGCCATGTGAAGAAGACATCTCTTTCTTCATGGATTCATGAAGCATCTATGCCGAAAGAGAGAATATCATCAAGACACAGTCTCTTCTCAATATACTCAACACAAGTGGTGCAACAACACAAAACAATTTCTTACTTTAATGTCAATTTTTTCTCCCTCTTCACGGCGTCCATTAAATTTAGCCACACTTTGGAGTGTCTTGACAGCTCTGTCAGACTGGTTGCTTATGGCTAACCATCTTGAGGATTCATGAAACCACCTATGAGAAATATTTGTTTAGTTCATTTGGTAATGGCACAATAACTTTATATTTGATTATGGAATCAGTAACTGAACTCTTTTGTTCAATCTTTGAATTCTTACCATGAGTACAGAAAGAAGACGTAGAAGGGCAACGACACAGCCAGGGTCAACCACCTCCAGTCTCTGACAAAATAGGCTATGCCCACCAGGATCAGCTGTCCCACGGTATAACAGTAGCCTGTTAATGTTCCCACCATAGTTCGCACACGAGTGGGGATCCACTCCACAACTTGAAATTTAAAAAATTGCAGAATAAGATACATTTTAGTATAATTAATACCCCGTTTGTCATGAGCATGCCTTGTAACTGTTTAGATTGGGTCCTATTACAAATTACACTCATAGTTCTTTATCCAGCTAAATATCTTACTGAGTGAGAAAGTGTTGAGTCCCAGGCCAGACAGAGCCATACCACAGCCAAATCGGAACACGCAGAATAGGGAGAACGAGGTCGAGAAAGCGACACATGTTCCTGACACTGCCATGAGCAGGTAAGAAATGAGCAGGAGGATGCGTCGACCATATCTAGGATAGAAGAGTGATGTTAACAAACCCTTATTTGACTTATTGAACTGTTTGGTACACATGTACGAACAATTTTGAACAGCACTACACCAAGAAGAGGCATTTTTTCATTTAAAAGGTGCAGCAGAACACTTAAATATCACCTGTCTGAAAGGCTTCCAAAGACAAGAGCCCCCACAAGCACACCTCCCATGTAGACGGTTTGTCCCATTTGCTTCAAAGAACGCATGTCACAAACCAAGTGCCACTAACAAAAAATTTTACCCCAAACCAGGTTTCCTTTAAAACCCCCCCAAAAAACTCACTGACTAACAAGTGTGTGAAAAATGCAATCCTACATCAGATATAATAGTGGAGCTCATCTCAGTCATGTTATAGGACCATCCATCTGTGCATCCCTGAATGTCCACATCCAAATCATCCTCAGCGCCTCCTTGCTTCCATGGATTGGAGGTCCCGTTCTCGGCCAGGAGATGCCACTGTGGAGCAGCATAACGCTGGCACCTGTGTGGTGCTCCCTTTTGGTCAAGCGGCACTGTGATCCGCAGCATATCCTCTGGGCTCAGCTGATTCTGAGAGACATTTGAATGAGCGCTGCAGTAGTGAGGAGGCACGGCAGCCACAAAGTTTTGCAGCAGGTTGTGACTGGCCATCATTAGGACAGGTATGCACAGGAGGGTCACATGCAGGATCTGGAAGCGTCCTGTGCTGCCCACCTGTTCCAGGAGGTCACCAAAAGCCATATTTTTGTGCAACTACAACACCAGAAGATAACTTTATATTAGAGAAGCTCTATTCGAGATTGTTGCTGGTTCCCAGGTTTCTTTAGAAAACTTGTATGTAAAGAAACAAAGTGTGTTGTTCCAGTACCTGTGACGATATTAAAAAAAAAAACATCAGTTGCAAAACCATCAAGTGTGTTAAAAGCGTTAAATAATAGAAAAAATTATACACTTACCTGCTAAAAAAGTCGTCTCTCGCTATATAAATTATGTACAAAATACAAAATCGATATGTTGGTCCTCAAAGTGTAGCACCTTCATCAAAGTAACTGTCAAATGCTACCATCACCTCAAATAAATTCCTGGCAAAGTGGTCTGGAGAGAATCCTTAAAAAAGCTAAAAAATCAAAAAGAAGTCGTCTTGTTGCTGCAGCGTGTTAAAGTGAGTAATCGGCTCTCAAATTCCAACGGCTTTTCTGAACTTTGGATTATTTGAAGTGCAGTGTAACCTCTTGAGGTATTAGCAGCTCATTCTGTGAACACTGAGGTAGAATGCTGAGTCCTTGCTGTGCGCGAACAATGTCTTGTTGAAGTTTTTCAGTGCAAAGGAGCTCCAGCATCAAGAAGAGGCACATAACTGTGCTCAGCTCTTTTCCCTCTTTGCACTGAGACCCACTCCCTGCCCTTCACTGGTTACTTAATATGAGGGACAGTGTGTGTGTGTTTGTGTGCCTGACTGTGTGCCACGTGCGTACACATGTGAGGTCACACACGTTTTTTTTTTTTCCTCCTTTGTCATTTTCTTTCACATTTTTTGTAATTGTTTATATTTTTAATTTGAACAGAAATGATGGATTGGCTAGTTTGCTGGATTGAATGTATACCAGTGTTTGACATAAACTGAAAAAGATGCTGAAAAATATTTAACGATTGAAATGCCTTCCAACACCACTACCTTTTTTTTCTCACCCAACTATTGTTTTCAAACAACAATAATTGACTATGTAATGACAGTTCATTTAGCAACTGGACGTTGTGGATTTTTCAACAGTCACACTATGCTGAGTTATGATACTGAACAAAATCTAAAAAAGTCAAAGAATATCTCCACTCAAAAAGTCTGTCTTTGACTTTATTTCTTTTGTATCCTTCATATCTGTATCTGCTTATGAAGCATATGTGGCTGAAAATCTGAGACATTTTTGCCCGGTTCATGTCCTGGTGATTAGTTATGAGGAATGTGTGCACTTGTGTAAGGATCAGCATGAGATGTCAAGCTGAAGGAAGTTGCAGGTGCACCAAAGCAAAACAATAAACTCTCGGTTTTTTCAGCTGCAAAGACTCTGTTTGGGAAAGCATTTGTTCTTTTAGATTCCACCGTCTTCAGGGTACCTTGTAGTTTGAGCCCTTAAAGTACAGGTTTTCAACAGAACATATGAAAAATTGTAGAACAATGAAAAAGAAACACAAACACAGTTTTATGTGGACTTCCCAGAGGCCCTGTGGAATTTAGAAAAAGTAAAGTGAAGAATGACAAGTTTTAACAGGTAGAAGGACGGTACAGCTTTGTAGATTTGATTTATCTGGGTTTGAATGACTAATTGCAAACAAGAGAGCACAGAGTGTACAAAAGATGTATAAAGAGGTAACCATTTGCCTGTGGGTGTTAAAATACCCCTTTGGTCAATGATAAAACCCCTAAAAAATACATCTGTGTGTATCAAAGTTACATTTTTAAAGATATTTCCATGGAAATAATTCCTTCCTGCCAGATCTATAAAGGTTAACCCTTTCTTTCCACTCACCCCTCCCCACTTGCTACAGCTAGAGCACACCAGCTTACTCGCAACTCTGCTCAAACACTGTAAACCTTGGAAAAGCAAGGCAGGTATATCGCACAGCACATTTCATACACTGGGTAACTGAGTGTGCTTTTCAGCACAACAGAAAACATGGTAAAGGACAGAGATTTAAACCAAAGGGAACTCTTCACACATCTGTTATATGAGGCAGCTGCGTCACAGAGGGAAAAGCACATCCAACAGGTACAAAAGAGATTTCCGCACAATGTCTAACTTGCAATTAAAAATGCAGGATTGCAAGTTATACAGTGTGAAGGACAGAGATTTAAAATTTCAAACAAACTAAATGATTTACAATGTAAAATTCACCAATGAAAATAGAAGTGCAGAGATGAGATACATAGACCAAACTATCCGAAATAGAGTTATTTTGCAGGCATTAGAGGTTAAAGCAGGCAAGTGTAGAATTATTCGTTTTTTAAAAATTTGTCTTGAAAGTGGTCAGAGTCAGAGCTTGTCAAACATCTGCTAATAGAAATAAAGGCATGGGTGAGGATTTTATGGTATTGTTTTAACATTATTCCTTTGACTCTAACAATGTTTTTAAATTAGCAAGAAGCTGATGAAGTTATTGATTTGGTGTGGCAATGAAAATTTAAAATTTAAAGATTTTGTGCTTGACAGTCACTTAGTTTTAAGAGAGAAAGAGATTCAGAATGAGAGCTGACTCGTTTTGTCTTTTTCGGCTGCAGGTCATCCCCCCCTCTTCTCCCCCTTTCCTGTCTCACTCTCTCACTATCCTGACTAATAAAGGCAAAAAGGCCAAAATAAATAAATAAATAAAATAAAATATGAAGAATAATATAAAAAACATCATAGGAGCAAGAAGCAGCACCAGTGCAGCAGCCAAAGCCAGGAAGGAATGCTGGCAGAAAACTGCTGACTGTTTGAATGTTCAATGTTCATTAGTTTATAATATAATAAAATATGATCACTGTTTTATCATGAAGGCACATATACAATAAGCACATCTAAGGATTCCTTTAATTAATTTACTGCCTACTATACTTGTGGCATATCTGACATTTTTTTACTTTCAGTCTGGCGTTGTAAAAAGGACATGGGAACAAATTAAGAACCAACATAAAAACATAATTCAAAGCGGTGTAGGCTTATTAACCTATCCCACAATACAAGCTTTAATACTAAAATCAGTTTACTGTTGTGGGGTTATATAAAAATTTTAAATAGCTTTGACATTGCCTGTAGCCAACAGGAAAAAAAAAGAATGAAGGAAGACAGGAGCTCATAGATCCTCATCAGGGTGCGCTGTTTTGCCAGTCCCGAAAAACCCTCACACTCCTCAATGATCCCCTCACCCCTCGCTCCGATGTGTAGCGGGTCTTCTACAAATGCCAGTGATGCCATTATATTGAGAACTGCTTTGTTTTCTACTCCTTCTGAAGTTTTGTGGGAGAGAACTGATTTTCAGTGCACGGTGTTTGTATACCCAGTGATCTCAATCTTGAACATAACCTGCTGTGGAGCAAGTTAGCCGTTCAGTGTAAGTTACCATGGTGATGTACCATGGTGTGAACCACTGTCGTAGGACTGAAAAACCCAGGATTTAACGTTTGGTCTTATGGGTGCATATACAGATTAAACACTAGAGGTCCCATAACGGACCCCTGTGGAACACCACAAATCATGGCCATTTGCTCTGACACACGGTTAATAGTCAAAAGAAAGTATTTCCTGTCATGAAAATATAATTGAAACCATTCAAGAACAATCCTTCCTTGTTTCCTAGTCTTAGTCTTGATATAGGCTAATAGTTGTCCAACAGGAAGGTGTTTGATGCTTCAGGGGATTTTCTCTTTCCCAAATCTTGTGAAAGCATTGATAAAATTTATTCCTGGAGAGTCACAGGTTGTAGAGAGACATGTATTCAATCTGTCATGCCCTTCAGCTCCACCTCTGCTTAGTTGCCAGCTCTCCTTCCTTTTTCCCTTCCTTTCATGTGGGCATGAGTGAGGTATGTATGCTGTGCTTCTATTGGATAATCAGCTGAGTGAGGACACCTGTGGTGGGGATTGGTTCACCTGTTCTCAGTCTCCACCTGATATAAAAATAAAAATCTTGGATCACCACTCGGTGCCAGACTGTTGTACAACTTACAGTTAGTCAATTCAGGCCACTATTCCTTTGCGCTAGTGTTGTCTTACGCTAGTTAACCAGTTTCTCCTTTGTTCTCTTCCTCCTCATATCACTGCCCGCCTGGACCTCTTGACTCTCGTTAAAGCCATCTCATACACTGCTCCTGTTTTGACCCTGGTTTGTCTCAGACCACCCTCCATGGATCTGTAACCTGACATGATGGAGATTTAGGCTCCTGCCAGGCATTTTTAACTCAAGTATCTTGAGTGTTTGATATGCAGCCCCTTTCCTGCGAGTTTCATGCCTGTACTGGGATATATCATTTTAAGAGGAGAAGTGCAAATGGATCTGCTGAAAGTCACCACGGTACAGGAAGGACCCCAACCTGTAAACGGGAAACAGCTCCAATTATTCTTGGGCATCGCCAGCTTTTTATCTGAGACTATAGTAAAGTCGCTGCCCCCCTTATTGCCCTGACCTCCATCTCCAAACCTTTCCTTTGGACCTTGGAAGCCCCCCAGGCCTTCCATGAACTCGAGGCTCCAGGCTCAGTTGGCTCTGTTTTTTGGATGCTTCAACCGCCAAACCCATAAATCTCCACCCTGACCCAGGTAACTGTCTTCCCAATTTTCTGTTTGTTCCTGATTCTGTTTGTTCCCAGGTCCTCCAGTGGGTCCACCCTAAATGTCCTTCGGCAGTGGTTCTGGTGGCCCACCATGGACAGGGACACATGGGAGTTCATTGCTGCCTGCTCCATCCATGCCTGCAACAAAACATTCAATCAACCCAGTTTCGGTCTTCTGCAACTATTATCCATCCCAAATGACCATGGTCCCACATTGCTTTGGATTTCACAATCAGCCTGCCTCCATCTTACAGTAACACTTGTTGGCTGATTCTCTAAAGCAGGTAATTTCATTGCCCTACCCAAATTACCATCTGCCAAAGAAACCTCTGACATCATGATTAACCTAGTATTTAGACTGAATGGTATCCCCCACAGATATGGTCTCCGAACATGGACCTCAGTTCACCTCTGTTGTCTGGAAAAGTTTTTGTACAGCTCTTGGGGCCACGGTCAGCCTGTCGTCTAGTTTCAGTTCAATGGCCAGATGGAGCAGATAAATCAGGAATTGATAGCTTTCCTCCACTGGGTCACTTCAGGGAATCCTTCTTCCTGGAGCTCCCAACTGCCATGGGTTGGGTGTGTGCCCAATTCTCTGGTTAATACCTCATCTGCTTTGTGAGAGTCCTTTGGCCTCACAGTTCTTACCCCTCCACCACCAGCCTACACCATATGACGGCTATTGGATGTGAGCGTGATCTACAATACTTTGTTGATTGCGAAGGTTATGGGCTTGAAGAACGAAGTTGAGTTCCCTGACGCCAAATCCTTGCCCTTCCCTCAGAAGGGACTTCACGGACACCCAGATCACCTCAGCTGTTCAGTTCCTTAAACTGACTTTCTTTCTTTCTGTGTTTGAATCATTGTGTTTAAACATATTCCAACTGGAAATCAATTCTTTGAAGGAATAATGATACAAAAAGTTCGACCCCAAAGGCTGACAGGATTTAATCCCAGATGTCTGTGTTGTTAGGATGGTCGTCTACAATGCTGCATTTTCAAAACAGAAAAGGTCATGACCCCCCAGCCTCAGCCCCAGCCCTTACCTGTCTCCCTCTCTTTCTCCCTCTCTTCTCCCTTCTCTCTGTCTCTGTCTCTCGCTCTCTGTCCCTCTCCCTGTCTGCCCTTGTTCATCTCGGCACTAATCAAGACAATCACCCTCAACTGCAACTCCGGACTCACCTGCACACAATCACCACTGCTCCTATAAAGACTCTGCTCATTCCACCACACCCTGCCAGACCATAGCCATTTGTCCTGCTTGTTTCTGTCAGTCTCTGCTCCATTTCCAGCCTGCATTCACGCAGCCAGCTTTCTTCTGCCACCGGTTTCACCCTGGATTCTCTGATTCCCTGTCTGCCCCCTCTGTTTTGTCCCCTTTGTGAGTACCCCCTATTGTTTGAGTAACTTTGTTTGTTATCTTGGGATTCATTAGGTTTTTTTTCTCCCCTTAGTTGTTAGTTTGGAGTTTTTCCCTGTTTTTTGTAGTTTTGTCCTTTTGTTGTATTTAGTCTGGTTTATCCCATTCTGTTTTCCACTCAGTTTAGTTTGCACTTCTGTATTTGCTGTCAGTTTTACTTCTCATTTATTAAATCCGTTTACACTTAACTTGCCTGTCTGCCTGATCTGTGTCTGCACTTG